GCAAGCGCGAAGGTCCAGCGCGTTGCCGCCACCATGCTCACGTGCTCCCACCGTTATTTCAACCTCTTCTGCATGCCCCCTGGTCTCATCTTCGCGTTGATGTACTTCTGGGCTCGCAGGGCACAGGCGTTGTGCAGCGTTCTAGTCTTCACAGTCTCCGTGGAGATGTTCTTCGCCTGCGCGTTCGAAAAGGCCACGACCATCATGGCGCCCTTATCCGTCGACGACGGGGGCCACACATACTCCACCACTGGGAACACGATCTTCTGCACCTCGTGAGTCTTCCCCGAACCGCCCTGGCCCAGCAGGAGGAGGAGTTTTCCGGGATTCGGCTGACGATGGGTTACCACCGCCAGCCTGGACGCAAAGGGCCCCCCCCCTGCGCCCGATTCGGCCGACGATGGGTTACCACCGCCAGCCTGGAGACAAGGGGTTACCCTGTCCCCGATTCGGCCGACGATGGGTCACCACCGCCAGCCCGGAGACAAGGGGTTACCCCTGCCCTCGATTCGGTCGAAAATGGGTTACCACCCCCAGCCCGGACCGGACGCAAAGGGCTACCCTTGCGCCCGATTCGGCCGCCGATGGGTTACCACCGGCGGCCCGGAAACAATGGGTTACCCCTGCCCCCCGATTCGGCCGCGGATGGGTTACCACCCCCGGCCCGTACACAAGGGGCTACCCCTGCGCCCGGCCGCTGTCTCGTCGTCGTCGTCGTCGTCGTCGTCGTCGTCGTCGTCGTCGTCGTCGTCGTCGTCGTCTTCGTCAGCTCCTCAATCGGCCTTTCGTGCACGCAGGCCCATGACAACAACAAATTTGCCGACGACCAGCTCAGACAAGGCTACCCGCACTTCGCTCACAGACGAAGCTCATGCCTGATACTTCCCCCGTTTTCGAATCGCCGGAGCTGAAGAGCTCTTCCCCCGTATTCAGGCCGCAGGAGATGAGGAACCCAAAAAATGACGAAAATTAGAAGAATTCGATGACCCGATCGGATTACCAACATGAAGTCCGGGACCCGTCATCGCGGAGAGTCGCCGCGCAAACCGCTGGAGGCTAAAGTTGTGGCCCAAAACTGACGACCGCTCGGTTCAACAACATGAAGTGCGGGCCTCATACGGGGGGGTCCCGCCTGAGACTTCCTCGCAAATCACTCATAAACGAAACTCCCGCCTGAAATTTCCTCCATACTCAAGCTTGAGGAACCCAAAAGTGACGACAATTACAAGTAGCCGATGACCCGCTCGGACTCGAACATGAAGTGCAAGCCCCATAGGGAGGAGGCTCCCGCGTGAGACTTTTTCGCGATTCACTCACAAACGTGGCTGCCGACTGAGACTTAGCCTAAGGAGCCCAAAAGAACGATAGTTACAAGAATCCGATGGCCCGTTCGGATTACCAAGATGAATCGGCGTACCCATAGGGAGGGGGGTTCCCGCCTGAGACTTCTTCGCAATTCACTCACAAACGAGGCTCCCGCTTGAGACTTCCTCTATATTCATGCCTGAGGAGCCCAAAAGTTACGACCGTTACAGGTTGAGGATGACCCGCTCGGATTACCAACATGAAATGCAAGACCCATAGGGATGAAGCTCCCGCCGGAGACTTCCTCACAGTTCACTCACAGACGAACCTCCCGCTAGATACTTCCTCCAAATTCAGACCTGGGGAACCCAAAAGTGACGACAATTACAAGTTGAGGATGATCCGCTCGGATTACCAACATGAAACGCGGGACCCATAGGGAGGGGGCTCCCGCCTGGGACTTCCTCGCACTTCACTCACAGACGAGGCTCCCGCTCAATATTTCTTCCACGCTCAAGACTGAGGAGCCCGAAAATGAGGAAAGTTACGGTTGCCGATGACCCGCTCGGATTACCAACATGAAATACGGGACCCATAGGAAGAGGGGCTCCCGCCTGAGACTTCCTCGCACTTCACTCACAGACGAAGCTCCCGCTCGATACTTCCTGCAAGTTCAGGCCTGGGGAGCCCAAAAGTGACGACAGTTACAGGTTGCCGATGGCCCGCTCGGATTACCAACATGAGCTGCGGGACCCACAGGGAGTGGGCCTCCCGCCTGAGACTTCCTCACAGTTCACTCACAGACGAGGCACCCGCTTGATACTTCCTCCAAACTCAAGCCTGAGGAACCCACAAAGTGGCAACAAGTAGACGTTTCGGATGACCCGCTCGGATTACCAACATGAAATACAGGACCCATAGGAAGAGGCTCCCGCCAGAGACTTCCTCGCACTTCACTCACAGACGAGGCTCCCGCTCGATACTTCATCCACACTCAAGCCTGAGAAGCCCAGAAGTGACGACAGTTAGAGGTTGAGGATGACCCGCTCGGATTACCAACATGAAATGCGGGACCCACAGGAAGAGGGGCTCCAGCCTGAAACTTCCTCGCAATGTATTCACAGACGAAGCTCCCGCTCGATACTTCCTGCACGTTCAAGCCTGGGGAGCCCAAAGGTGACGACAGTTACAGGTTGCCGATGGCCCGCTCGGATTACCAACATGACATGCGGGACCCATAGGGATGGGGCCTCCCGCCTGAGACTTCCTCACAGTTCACTCACAGACGAGGCTCCCGCTTGAGACTTCCTCCAAACTCAGGCCTGCGGAACCCAAAAAGTGCCAACAAAGAGACGTTTCGGATGACCCACTCGGATTGCAAGCATGAAGTGCGGGACCCATAGGAAGAGGGCTCCCGCCAGAGACTTCCTCGCACTTCACTCACAGACGAGGCTCCCGCTCGATACTTCATCCACACTCAAGCCTGAGAAGCCCAGAAGTGACGACAGTTAGAGGTTGAGGATGACCCGCTCGGATTACCAACATGAAATGCGGGACCCACAGGAAGAGGGGCTCCAGCCTGAAACTTCCTCGCAATGTATTCACAGACGAAGCTCCCGCTCGATACTTCCTGCACGTTCAAGCCTGGGGAGCCCAAAGGTGACGACAGTTACAGGTTGCCGATGGCCCGCTCGGATTACCAACATGACATGCGGGACCCATAGGGATGGTGCCTCCCGCCTGAGACTTCCTCACAGTTCACTCACAGACGAGGCTCCCGCTTGACACTTCCTCCAAACTCAGGCCTGAGGAACCCAAAAAGTAACAACAGGTAGACGTTTCGGATGACCCGCTCGGATTACCAACATGAAGTGCGGGACCCATAGGAAGAGGGCTCCCGCCGGAGACTTCCTCGCACTTTACTCACAGACGAGGCTCCCGCTCGAGACTTCCTCCACACTCAAGCCTGAGGAGCCCAGAAATGACGACAGTTACAGGTTGAGGATGACCCGCTCGGATTACAAACATGAAGTGCGGGACCCATAGGGAGGGGGGCTTCCGCCTGAAACTTCCTCACAATTCACTCACAGACGAGTGAGTGATGACGAAGTGATGAGTGAGTGGTGATGATGAGTGAGTGGGTGATGATGGTAATGATGAGTGAGTCAGTGAGTGGATGATCGAGTGATGATGATGGTGGTGATGATGATGGGTGATGATGATGAGTGATCGTGCGATGCTGATGGTGACTGGTGGTGATGATGATGACGAAGTGATGAGTGAGCGTGTAATGAAGATGATGATGCTGATGATGATGATGATTATGATGATGATGATGATGACGATGACGATGATGATGATGATGATGATGATGATGATGATGATCGTGCGATGCTGATTATGATAAGTGATCGTGCGATGCTGATGGTGATGATGAAGATGAGTAGGGAGTGATGGTGATGCTGATGCTGATGAGGAGGAAGCACGGAGGAGGAGAGGAGAGGGAGGAGGAGGAGGAGGAGGAGGAGGAGGAGGAGGAGGAGAGATCCTGCGCGGAGGGTGTGCAGAGAAAACAAGAGATGTGGGGAAAAAACCTTCAACCAGAAAAAGCATGGTAAAAGGTTCAAAACGACTGTGCGCGGCGCTACAGCTAGAATCACACTGTGGAAACGACCCGCCCTCAACCAGCGAAGCTCTTGCAATTGATTATATCGAGTGCGCTCTGCACTCCGGCGACAGCAGCATTATGGAAACGGCCTGCCCTCCATCCGCGAAGCTCTTGCAACGTTTCTAAAACGAATATGCGCAGCGCTGAAGCGAGAATCACATGTTGAAAACGACCCGCCCTCAATCCGCGGAGCTCTTGCAAATGTTTGAACAGAGCGCGCACAGCGCTAAAACGATAACCAATTTTGAAAACGGCTCGCCTTCCATCCGTAAAAACTCTCGCAAATGTTTAAAGCGAACGTGCACGGCGCTAGAGCGAGAGATACAGGTTGAAAATGCCACGCCCGCAATATGTGAAACTCTTGCAAAACTATTGCAACGAATGCACGCGGCGCTAAGGCCAGAACCACAGGTTGAAAACTACCCGCCCTCTATCCGTCAAGATCTTGCAACTTGTTGGCACCAATGCGCGCGGCACTGAGGCGAGAGCCACATGTTGGAAGCGGGGGGGGACTCGTCGTCCCCCCACCTCCCCCTCCCCCCTCCTCCTCCCTCTCCCCCTCCTCCTCCTCCTCCGCCTCCTCCTCCTCCTCTTCCCCATCACCATCATCATCATCATCATCATCATCATCATCATCATCATCATCATCATCAACATCATCATCAACAACAACATCATCACCATCATCATCACGTTCATGCTCATGTTCATGTTTATGTTCATGTTCATCATCATCACCATCATCACCATGATCACCATCATCACCATCGTCACCATCACCATCATCATCATCATCATCATCATCATCATCATCATCATCATCATCATCATCATCATCATCCCGGAGCCAGGGTAACGCTTGCTGGCGCGCGAACTTGCATCCTTTTTGTCTAGAAGGGGGGGATGGGGGTATCTTAATCACCTCCTGAGGTTACGTTGATCACGTGGAAGAGGAAGAGGAGGAGGCCGAAACTGGCGGCCGAATGCTGCTTGAATTGTTCAAAACGACGTCGGGGCGCGCGCACTCCTCGGATCCGGCGGGCTCTGGCGCCTGCGGGTGCTCGGGCCGTGCATCCTCCGCCTCGCCGCCGCCGTCCTGTGGGCAGATCCGTCTGCAGATCTCACCGATGGGCAGCAGGCGACAAAAGAGACGTAAACAAACTCCTCTGGAGCCAAACTCGCCGTTTCTGCCTGGAGACGCTGGGGTTTGGGTGGGATGGGGGAGGACTGGACTGGACTGTCCTGCGGCCGTTTTCGGGCTGATTCTCTTGGGCTGCAGACAACATGTCGCACCCTACCACACCTCGCGCCTCATCGAACCGAAGGGCACTATGGCGGATTGATCTGGTGAGGCCAGGTCGAACTCATGTGTCCACGCCGTCCGGGCATCCGCACTCACAACTTTATCTGGCCGCAAACATTTGCGCGGCCAGCACGGTATAGAAGGCTCTCAACTACGCAAGCGTTTGTCCCTGCCGGGCCAAGCCAGCGCTGATGAAGCATAACTGAGGGGCGAGGAGTCCTTCGGATGTCAGGGAAGGCGGGGTGCATAGGCATGCGCATTCTTGAAAAATGGTGTCACCGTGGTGATCATTGTCCAGCATTGGAACCTGCTGCTGAGAATTCCTGATGGCTGCGACCGCGGTCAGAAGGAACACCCTACCCCAATGTGGAATGCTTGGCGCCGATCCAGAAGCCAATCTGGAATGAAACAACAGGGACTTGACGTCTAGAAGAGCATGCATACACATACGTACGTGTGTAATTTACATATGTGTCGATATTCATGTATCACCCCGCAGTTGAAGTTCCGGGTCAGAGTGAGGTGGCGGCATGGACGCTGGCAATCCGCGAGGCTCTTAAAAAATTCGCCGCAAAATTTACAAATTCAACGACGAACCCACCGCAAGCGCGGATTTTTCGTTACAAGAATGCGGGTGGGTTGCGGGTGGGTCGCGGGCCGGGTCGCGGGTGGTCACGGTGGGTCGCGGGTGGGTCGCAGGTGGGTCGCGAACGGGTCGCGGGCGGGTCGCGGGTGGGTCGCGGGTGGGTCGCGGTTGGGTCGCGAGCTGGGTCGCTACGGGGACCGCGACAACAACAACAATTATTTTAAGACTGTTCGCCTTACTGCTCGAATGTCCAAGAACGCGTATTTCCCAAACCCTCGCTACCCGCCCTCTTCGTCTTCGATCGAACCCCTTTTGGGGGGTGTATACCTTTCTTCCCTGCAGGCTGGGCCCCGGCAAGCGGCGGGGCGGCCGCGGACCGTCGGCCTGGCCAGCGGCATCGCTAATCGGCGGGGCGGCCGCGGACCGTCGACCAGACCGCAAGAGGGACGGACAAGGGACCGACCACGACGACGACGACGACAACGACGACGTCGACGACGACGGCGACGACGACGACGGCGACGACGAGCGAAAGCGAGAGCGACAGAGAACGACACCAGGGCCACGAAGGACACGAAATAGGCCACGAAGGGCGACAGCGGGGACACGAAGGCAATGCGTATCGGGCCACGACGAGCGCGAACGAGCGGGGGCCACGAAGGACAGATAATGCGGGGCTACAGAAGGCAACGATGGGGCCACTGAGGGTAGCAACTGGGCCACGCAGGACAATGAGGGGGCCACAAACGGCGACAGCGGGGCCACGAAGGGCATGCACATGGGGCCACAACGGGCGCGAACGAGCGGGGGCCACGAAGGGCATGCGCATGTTGGGCCGCGGAGGGCAAGGACGGGGCCACTGAGGGCAGCAACGGGGCCACGAAGGGCAGCGGGGGGGCCTCGAAGGGCGACGGCGGGGCCGCGAAGGGCATGCATATGGGGCCACAACGGGCGCGAACGAGCGGGGGCCACGAACACACACACACGCACACACACCGGGATACCATATATATATATATATATATATATATATATATATATATATATATATATATATATATATATATGCGTGCCCCCCCACCAAGATCTACCTCGGGACGTATATTCTAGGACTAGGATAACTTGGATTGTTTTGAGCACGGCGTTCGAATGATGAAGGCGATCTGGTTTGGGCGCAAGGATTCGCGCGGGCCGCGCTAGCACTGTCAAGGAGTGCCAAGTGAGGAATCTACCAACATGCGCCAGGCCAACGCGGCGCGGGTCGGCACCTGCGAGTTGACGCTTTTTGTTTTGAAAGAATTGCCAACTGGCATCTGCGTGTAGCCATGGAGTTAATGTGCTTCAGCTCTTTCACCAACCTCGAGTGGGAGGCCCTGGAGATCGGATAAGCACGACCGCTGGTGCGTTCCTCGGGGCGCGGCGAGGCCTGGCCGGGCGCGAGCCCGCCCGCCATCGGGTCGTCGGCATCCCTGCCGCTCCGCGCAGGAACAGATGCGCTGCGCCGCGGGGGGCGGGCGGCGTCCTCTGGCACGTCGAGGAACGTGTTCTTCACGATCAGCCGAGAAGTATCCTGCGAGAGTGCGCGCGATGGCGAGAAAGCGCGGACTGGCGCCATCTGGTGCTACCAGACTCGAGAGTCAGAGTTTGGCGTAGATGCGATTGCGGAGGGCGCAGTCTGAGCCAAAATCACCTAGAGACAGAGAGAGAGGGAGAGACAGGGGAGAGAGAGAGAGAGAGAGAGAGAGAGAGAGAGAGAGGAGAGATGAGGAGGAGAGTGAGAGAGAGAGAGAGAGAGAGGTGTGAGTGAGGAGATGAGAGAGCGAGGAGAGGAGAGAGGAGAGAGAGAGAGTGAGATGAGAGAGGAGAGGTGAGAGAGAGTGAGAGAGGAGAGAGAGAGGAGAGAGAGAGAGAGAGAGAGAGAGAGAGAGAGAGAGAGAGAGAGAGAGAGAGAGAGAGAGAGAGAGAGAGAGAGAGAGAGAGAGAGAGAGAGGTGAGAGAGAGAGAGAGAGAGAGAGAGAGAGAGAGAGAGAGAGAGAGAGAGAGAGAGAGAGAGAGAGAGAGAGAGAGACCGGACAAGTAGGCGGACCAGGGTCCGTCCGCGAGGCGCACTGCGGTGCGACAACCCGCCAAACACTATTTGCGGCGGTGCAGCCTTGAGATACGAGGGCGGGCAACAAACCCCCTCCCCCGGCGCAATGCGACTGACGCTACAGACGGCGGACAGACAGTGAAGATCTCACGTGTCAGACCGCGTGACGAAGAAGGCCCCAACAAGAAAGGCGACATGCGGACACGTGGCTAGGCGGCTTGGCAGACCGCCAGTTGGGCGCTTGGCCGCAGCGCGGTGCGCAGGGACGGGGCACCCCCCGCCCCCACGCCCTGACGCCGTGGACGCGGGGCCACGCGTGCACACGGGCAGGCAGAATGGCGGAGATTAGCGCGGGGCTCCAGGCGGAGCGCCGCGGAGCGATGACAGCATAGCATGGAGGGTGAGTGGCGGCGCAGCACCATCGGGCGAGGGTGTAAGCAGCTCGGCGAAGGCACGCCCGGCGCGGTGGAGGCGCTGGTGCAGAGGGCCTTGACGGGCTTGAGCAGCGGCAAGGTCGGCGGCGAGAGCAGCACACCTCTGCTGAAGAGCGGCCATAGACTGGGACAGCTCGGCTTCGCGGTCGGTGAGGGGCGGCTGCTCTGTGCCTGCGGCCGCGGGCCTCGTGGCGGGGACGAGGTCATCGGTGCGCCTGGCCAGGTGGTGGACCAGCGCGGCGCGGCGGTCCGTGTGCTGGCGGCCGTCGCCCTTGCGAGGCGACTGGAGGGCAACGCGCGGTCCCAGGGCTGAAGCCGCTAGGGCCACGCCCCGTGAGGACGGAGGAGCCGCAGCCTCGCACCCAGCAACAGTAAAAGCGTGGACGGGGTGCGACGGCCTGACTGGCTCAGTGCCCTGCGGGGGGGCTGGAGCCGCCCCCGCGGGCTGGCGCTGGTGGGGGGGCGGGGTGGGTGGCACGGGGGGACCAATCATGATGCCGTGCGAGGGCTCGGAGGTCGGCCGCGTGGTCGGGTGGCGTCTCGATGGAGCGGCGTCGTCGGCAGCGTGGGGTGTCGGCGGGGCGTCGTCTATGCTGCCACTCAATCCGAGGGGATCATAGAGGTCCTCGTCGGCGTCTTGACGGTGAGCGACGTCATCATGTGGGTGCGATGTCGCTCTCGGTGGCGGAGTCGAGGTGGGCGTCGAGAGGCTGCCCGACGGGGCAGGGTTGGCGCTGGCTGGGCCGTCGTCCAGGAAGTCTAATCCCCCGCCGAAGCCGAACGGGTCGTCCTCCTGTTCGTCGTGTATCGCCCGTTGGGCCTCGGCCCAGAGCTCATCCGGGTTCTGCGGGATGTATGGTCCAGCCGCGGGTGGTGCCTGGTCCGACAGCAGGGGGTTCGGTTCCATTTTGCTGAGTTCCGCTGCTGTAAACCCAGCCCTGCGGTGTGGGAGCGGCAGAGTACGGTGTCTGCGCTCGTAGATTGCGACAGCGACCCCATGAAGCACGGTCGCTTGGCGATGTCGTGTTTTGGCAGCTTCAACAATGTCGTCGGGGAGGTTGTGCGTGCGTGCCGCCGCTGTGGCAAGGGCGTCGGCCTGACGGTTGAACTCCTCCGCGATGGGCCCGATGAGCCCAAGGTCGATGCCCAGGTCTCCAGGTGGCTGGCGATTTTTTCGACGCGAAACATGTTGGGCTTGGCCATAACACATCGGTGGATCTTTTCCCAGAGCTCCGCGTGCGTGCCCTGCGGCGCTGGATGTCCGTCGATGATGCTTTGGAACCCATCGACCACCGCCTGGTTGTCCACGAAAACGTGCACGGGCCTTTCGGCACATGCCGTAAGGTGGACAATGGCGAGGGTCTCCGCAACCTGGGCGTTCTGCGTTAGGCCGTGAACGCGTGCACTGTAGTTCATGCGGTGGTCGATGCCGTAGTAGACGCCGTAACCCGCTCGTGCTAGCAATGGGATGGCTTGGTTGGTGCACGCACCGTCCGTGGCTGCATAGACCCATGTCCAACCAGTGTCGTAGTCAAGGTAGGTGGTGTAGGTGTCCTGGGCTGAAGCCGCAGGATCACCCTCAGGGGAGGGCCGCGGAATGGGCTGTGGCAGCGGGTCCCTCGCGAGGTCGGCCTGCAGGTCGAGGAGGGCTGGGTCTTCGTCGAAGAGCCCGCAGTGTCTGGTG